AAGTGCTCCCCCCCCCCCCCCCCCCCCCCCCCCCCCCGTCAAACCTCTGCGTTCTCACTTTTCCGACCCTGGGCTTGCGATTCCTCAGATCGCCGGTGCGCGCCGTTCTGCCGTGAGAGATACCGTCGCTCGCCGTCGCCTCGACCGCCTCGATCGTGGCAGCAGTCTTGGTGACGCCACCCAGGGTTTCCCCGCTGACGGTCGAAGCGGCGTTTCTGGGGACGGGGACAGGGACAGGGGAGGTTCTTCCTTGGCCGCCGAGTGGGACTCCAACGCCAGGTATCTCAGGAGGTGTTCCCGTGCGGTCGTAGCACGATAGCGTGTCCACCTGCACAATTTGCTGAAGTTCTGAACCCTGTTGTTTGTGCCCCGATATTGCACTGGTCCTGCAGTTACTATCGCGGAATGTAATTTGCGCGACAACCTCCCCATTCCCATGAACCCACGCCAGCTTACTTATATACCCACGCATTGCCTTACCCCGTGGTGCTCGTGACCTGGGACCTGGTCGGCTGTGCGGCGTGGTTCAGGGGCCACACGCCCGGGGAGCACGCCCTGGACATCGCTGGGGCATTCCTGGAGTCTTCTCTGATGACGCGCTTGGCGGGCGGGGATTGGTGAGAGAGTTAATGAAGCACCTTCGCGTACATTCTGCACAAGCACAACTAAATCGAAGCATTCAAAGTTCATTTTTCGCGGTTGTCTGGTAGACACCTACTGGTTGAGAAAGCTGTTCAACTGGCCGTCGGTGGCTCAGGGTTGCGACCGTGTTCAGAAAGAGTTTTGAGTTTGTGAACTGTTCTAGTTGTACATGGTTGTGCCTTTTGGGAACAGCGCGTGGTATTAAATTGTTTGTCGGTGTAGGGGGTGGGTGGTGATGGAAAGAAGGAGGGCGGGACCAGCGCGGTCTATCGGGCACGAAGACACGGAACGCAAACGAGAAATTCCTCTGTGTTTGAGACAGAACGTCTTCCAACGACTTCGCGAGACCTAATCCTCTCGCTCTTGACCCTACACATCAAGGTTCGACGGCGAAGACGGCGACCAAATCTCGGCCGGGTCGTCTGCGGCCTGGGAACCCGAGGGGGCCGTGAGGGGGCCGCTGGGCGGCGGCCCGCGACAAACCCACCGCCCCGGCGGTGCACTCCGAGGGAGGTACGACAGCGGCGGTGGGGGCGGCAGCAGGAGCCGGAACGGTCTGTCGAGGAGGGACGGCGGTCAGCGTGCCGGTAGGAGGGAAGCCCACACCGGCTGGCTAGGAGACTTTGGGCCCGTGCACACGCACACCGTCCGAGAGGTGGCCGGAGATGTTGAGGAAGAGGAGGAGGAAGGGAGGGGTGAGGAAGAGGAGGAGAGCGGTGATGGGCGGGCGTGGGGGACGGCGAGCCGGAGGGATGGCGGCGTATCACCACCAAGAGACCACGGCGGTAGCGACGGCGGCACGACCAGCAGGCAGGGTTCAGGGGGCCACGCGGAGGAGAAGGGTAGAGGAGGTGTTGGTGAAGGCGGGAGTGGCGACGTCAGTGCGAGCGAGGATGTGCGGGAGGGCAGGGGCGTGGACGAATCAACCGGGGCCGCCCGCGGGAGTGACGGCGGTGGGGCTACAAGAGAAGGCTCTGACCCAGGCGGCGGGGGCAGCACCAGCCCCAACGACAACGACGACGGAGACGTAGGTCTGGGCCAAGGAGAAACGGGCGATTTCAACGTGGTGGCTCCGTTAGACGGGGGGCTGGATGCCTACTTGCAGCTGGCCTCCGACGGCGGAGCGGTGGTCGGAGGGGGCGCGGCAGGCGGGGGTGGCGGCGACGAGGAGGGGGGAAGGGAAGGGCCGGGCCTTGGTGGCGGGAGTCCCGGGGGTTACACCGGCGCTACGAGTGGGAGCTGGTGGGAGGAGGATAGGTCAGCCTTGGAGGGTGGAGATGTGATTCCCGGCCCCACCTGATGCCAGCAGTTCACCAGCTTCGCCCGTAAAGTGGAGTGGGATGGGAATTGCGTGGGGGCATGAGAGAAGAGAAGAGGAGACGAACTGGGTCGGGGTGGTGCAGATCCGCGAAGCTTGTGAATTCAGTTTTGTTCGGAGCGGCTCGAAGCTATTGCTTGTTTCGATATACCCCAGATGGTGTGCTTGGCCCGTTGGATGTCTGCCAACGGGCGAAGTACGTACGTCGATCAGCTGCTTCGAGTGGGGTACATTTCCCCCAGCTTCTACCCCTCCTTTCTTTTTGTCTTGGGGTATCGCGCGGTCGTGGTTCTTACTGGGGCGTTTCTAATGTTGTAGCCGAGATTGAGCTGTGTTTCTCAGGCCTTTTTTCCTATTTTCCAACAAAATTTGAGCCTTTTTTTCTGAACAGAATTCTTCTTAGCTGCGGGCCCCATCTGTGTGACAATACCGCCGAAAATTACCGCAAAAAAATGGTTTTACCGCCTCCGCCAAAGTCGTTACCGCCGAAAAACGCATTACCGCCTACCGCCAACAATACGGTTACCGCCAAATGGCACTACCGCCGAAAACCTGTGCGTCGAAAAAACCGTTACCGAATAAACCCCTGCGTTTATTGCCGTTTTTTCCAAACGGGCTTATATCCTATGTGGTACCCACGGCAGGGATCGGAATGCCGGCTGCTCCGAACACACACTGGGAGGCTTACCGTAACGTTTTCAGACCGTTCCGGACCAGCAGCCGAAATAAATGCGGATGAACTTTTGTTGTTCACCTGGCTTGTCAATAGTTTGTTCGAAACAAAACCTTATAGGAGGACTATGTACATACATAGTCTTTTACCTCTCGAGATCTGCGCACCACAGCAAGCAGCAGCAGTCGAAAGGGATGTGTTGAAAGTCTTTCCGTTTTTTTTTCCTGTACGGGCCGAAACACTTACTGCTGGCACAGCGAAATTTCTGCGGGTGTGTGTGGAAACAAATCATCCGTCATTTCCCGGATCACGCTGTCTTCTCGTCGTCTATTAGGCTGCTGCACCAACAGCAAAGAAAGTGAGAAATTGCCATAGGAGTCAAAACAGGTCCCATATACGACAGGCGACACAACATACCACACCCGCTTGACCGGATCTTAATGAATGCTCGACTAAACAAACAAACAAACGGCATTCATTCAACCGCATCGTACCACGTGGATCGTTTCCAAACGAAGAGGGTGAAAGCGATGCGTTTTTGGAAAATGCTCTCGATGAGACCGCCCCGACCGCCGCTTTCTTACAACCCGAATGCTATCATAATATTCAATAACTAATAGTTTTGGTCCCAGGTGACGGAATTTTTTTCCTGTAGTGACACACAGGTTGGACGGTTACCTACCGCCAACCTTTGCTACGGCGGTAACACGGATCACTGTTGTTTTTTTGCTGTGGAGAGTTCGAGCTTTGAAAAACAAAATCGGCCCAAAAGGGGTGGGTGTGATATCTTATGACACCCACTACGGAATTAATTGCTGCGTGAACGCAAAATTCGTGCAGAGAGGAGCACACCGAGGTCAAGGGTGTGTTGTGTGTAACCGGAAATAATTGTGCGCCCCGAGTTCCCGCCCCGACCCCGCGGGTTCCTCTCGGTTTTACTGTTGGGCGAAATGAATGGTGACGAGATGACCTTACCTACAGATATTTTTGCCGCCCACAGTTTCAGCACAACTTGAACCCGGGGTCAGAACACCGGAGCTCTATTTTAAAAAACTTAATCTAATCAAGAGCATAAGTCTATAGTGTATACTGTAGGTGCACGGCATCATATCTTTGAGTCTCCGACTTGTGGAGGGAGATCATGATGAACAGATGGTACGTCGGCGAAGACATCGAATTGTTTTTTTCGGATCCGAATTTATTCGCCTCCGATGCTAACGACCAGCAGGTGGTTAACCCAACCAACTATGTAGCTAGCCTGAAGTGCGCTTCGAGACTCCCGCCCCCACTCCAGCACAACCTTACAAGACCAGCATCATCATCAGAAGCTACAGGGAAGCTCCTCCCGACAAACGTTCTAAACGACTAGCTGTGTCTACCACCGACTCCGGGCCGGCGTGCCGAAGAGTGAATGGCGTGCAGTGTTGTAGTGCGCAGGCTGTATTATTATTAGTTAGTGTAAATTAGCCCCAAACTCATTTTCATTTCAGAGTAAAACACGAGGGAAACACACGCAAGCCCATAGTAGCTGCCCGGCAACCTCTTCGCCTCACTTTACTCTTGCCTTTGGCCGCACCAAATTCTCTGTGTGCTTGTGCTCCGCTTAATAACCACCAACACTAATACAAACTCAAGAGTATTCTGTTCTAGGCGCAAGTGCGTTTTTGGGAAAACACCCGACGTATGTGTGTGTGTGCACTCCCGATTGTAACTCACTATTGGTAAGGGTGTGACGTCCGAGATTTCCAGAAAAATGTGTTTTACCTCTCTCTGTCGCCTTGATGGTATTTTCACCCACACCCCAGCCGGTCGCCCCGCCCGGTGGTCTAGTGGTATCCTCGCAAAACCGCTAGTCGCAGAGGTCGTGAATTCGAATCCCCACGGGGTGAAAATTTTATTAAATTCGCGGGTGAAAGCGAATTATATCTGAAAAAGCTCTCGTGAGTACCAAACTTCGACGTTAGCACCGTTGACGAGGAAAAAAAGGGACGGCTAACCCTTCTCGCGATCAAAATAAAATGCAGCACGCACCGCAGGAAGAAGGTGGAGGAAGGTGGGGCATAAAAATAAATAAAAAGAAGAAAACCCCCTCCTGTGTGGCCCTGGATGGTTGTAGTTGTACGAAAAATACACTGAAAAGTGTAGTACTCTACATACGCTGAAAAGTGTAGTACACGTCCCACCACGGAAAAAGGGGGAACTGTCGCCATAATAAATAGGACGAAAACACGACACACGCACACCCCAACCACCATGAGCACAACTTTGTTGTGGGCGAGACCCATCCATGCTACAGGCAGCCTTCCGCCGGTCAGAGAGGTTGTTCCCTCCAATATCGTTCCCCCTACTGTGCGAAGAAGCGTTTCGTCGGAAATTTCCTTGCGCGGAAATTGCGCGACTGAATTATTTCACCCGGTCATCACCACCACAATCCGTTCTGTAAACACGAGGAGGGGAAGCACGCGCGAGAAGCCATATATATCTTCCCCGCCCGGCAGCGTCTGTCTGTGCTTCACCTTACTCTTTTCTTTGACCACCCCGGGTTCGCTGTGTGCTTGCGCTCATCCGCATAAAAACCACCACCACTATTCTGTGTGAGGCGAGTAAAGGGCGTTTTTGATAACCATCCGACGTATGATACGTACGTGTGGTCCCTCTCGTCGTGTTGAACCCTTTGTGGCATGGGTGTGATGTCCAAGATTTCGAGAAAAGCACATCTTACCCCTTCGGCGTTTCTTTTGATGATATTCTCGCCCGCATCCCAACCACCAGCACAACGGGCGACCCATGCTACAGGCAGTCCTCTGCCGGCTGGCGAGTGGTCAGAGAGATTGCTCACTCAATATATCGTTCCTCCTTACATAGTGCAAAGAAGAATTATTTCGTCGGAAATTTCCTTGCGCGCAGATTGCGCGACTGGATTCGTTCACCCCGGCCATCGCCACCACAATCCATTCTAACCCCCACAAAGCTAGAGTGATAGTGACTGTAACCACTGCACAAAGTACTATGATGGGCCGTGACTGTCCGGTGCGGTGCTAGGGGTATGGGGGTCATAAACAGGAATCGAAGTATCGGACACTTCCCCGTTTGCCCTCTAGAGGTTTCGAAGAGGCGGCGGTTATGCCGCATCTACGAAGAAGAGACAAATTTTTCGCGAACGTTTTTTTTTTTTTTTTTTGTTCTTCACTTCAAATCAGTGCTCACAGCACTAGTGCTGTTTATTCCAACCCGTGGTCACACAGAAGAGCCTCTCTCTACCCTCCCCTCGATTGATACCGTATGAGACATGGATACCATCCAGGAGAGACAACGAAGACAGGTAAGCGCAACCCATTTGCATCACCCACTGTACTCAGCTACGAAGAAGGTCTACGCACATACCGTACTCAACTACTACGAAGATGAGAGACGTATGAGCGTTTTGTATGAGCGTCATTTTAGCTGTTTTAACAGTGAGTCGACAATCGATCATCTTACACCGTAGGTTGAATAGGATACCACAACCACCCGTGTGAGACCATTATATTTGCGTATTATTTGTTATGCAGTAGTCCAACATATACACGCGGCTGCTACACGGGGTGTGGTGGTATTGAAGGGTGTGATATATTTTGTCACCCTTGTGATAATTGGGGGGGTGATAGAAAGGGTGTGTGAAAAGATCGTCCGTGTGATGAAGCACCCGACCTATAGGGAGGTGTGATCATGATCGGGTGTAGTAATCGGGGGTGATAATGTCGCATATCTATGTGATGAGGTTTCTCGCACAACGCTTTTGAATGCATCACATACAAAAATGCAAACACGAACACATGTGTACCTCATATGCGCCTGTGTCGGTAATCTGTATGGAAAAACGACAGCACACCAATTCTTGAACCAGAAAAAAACTGATCACGCTTGCGTTCATTACTCAAGCTGGAATGATCATTGGACACAAGCCAGCAACTATGTATCAGCCAGCAACTATGTATCAACGATGGCAAAAAAATTCACACCATAGGGTTAAGAAGGCGGGGGCTCTATCTGATTGATTGATTCACTCGACCATGGTTCCCGCAAACCGCCAGGCGTTGCTCTACCACCTCCACACCGAAATAATTTTCTGCGGGGTTCAGAAAAAGAAAAATACAATGGTATACAATGGTATTTTGAGTGAGTGGTATGTTGTGCATAGTGTGATGCCTTATCTTTTGTAAGTGTGATGTCTTGTCCCAAGCCGGATGTCCTACATATTATGCATACCACGCCACAACGCACATCGTTGTGTGGACGTTCACTGCCAGTCACCGCGCCAAGCTGCAAT